TATGCGGCATAATATACATACTTGGACGATTGAAGGTTTAGGTAGTATACCTATAGGTGCCTAAGCATATATAGGAGTATAGGACATATAGGTACATACTACTTATGCAGGTCCTATACTTGCACTTTGCAGGCGCATAATAAACACATAATATTATATGTACACAATACACATGGGTACCTATATATATATATACCATTCAGATTTCAGACAACAACAGAGAAGGTGCCAATTATAATAATATTATACAATATTATAATATTAGGTACGTAGGTATCTGAAATCTGAATGTGACTAATGTCTGTGCATTTTTAATTTGATTGTATTTGAACAAAACGATACGGTGTTAACTGTTGAAAAATTGAAAATAAATAATTACCTTTAGAGGTAGGTATAGGTACTATTCGTAATTTGTTATTTGTATACAATATTATAAATTACTGTTTTGAATATATATTATGTGGTAGCTGGTAATGCCTGGTAAGGATTTAACGTAACTATGCTGGATGATTCGCCAACCATTTTTTCCTTTAATAAAGAATTTATTCATATTCTGATTTTTGGAATTTTTAAATATAGGTACACAAACAATTTTTCAAATTCTTGAATTTTTTGTATTAGGTACTTAAGGGGTGCCTTATTGCGTTGATACAAACTTTTGTTTTTCAATTGAGTACCCCGCTCCCTTTTTTACTGTTAATTATGTAGTGGATGATTTTTTTAAATTTTGATGTAGGTAGTATATAACTAGGTACATAACTCAAAATTCGAATGAGTAATTTCTTAGTTATTAAAATGTTTGTACTAAGGATACCTAATAGTCCTTAAAAATGGTCTAACAAAAATATGAAATAGACGTAATATTGGAACTAGTACTTGGGCCAATTTTACAAATATTTAATTTTTTATTTTATTAGATGAAAGTAGCAAACATCAATGGTTATTGGCTCATGATAATTGATAATTGATATTATACAGTAGGTAATTGGTTAATTGATTAATAGTACGATTATGGTTTATTAAATATGTGTTATAAAATACTATAATATACAATTTAGTTAATTCTAAGTACCAATTTAAGAATTTGTCCACGCCACTGATTGCTTATGTCATTATTATCATTCTCCTCAGAATCCCTTGAATTACAATTGTGTGTACCAAATCGTATAACGTATATTTGAATCAGTAAACCTTTTTAAATAACAATATTTTCAATAGCCCAATACTCTTTTTTCAGTATCCATTTAAATTAATATTTTGTTCAAATATCATAATAAGAGATCTACTATACATATAGTGTGATGTTATTGTAAATAACAATTAAATATTAATATATTAGAATAATGATCTCAACCATATATTGTATGCAAAAGTATCTATAACATATTATAGTGAACAACACGAAATTAGTTCTGCTGAACTGCTGAACATAAATTTGCTATAATATATTGTATGTACCTACACTAATTTTACAAAGTCGGACATGGTTTAGGGCTTTAGGCTCAGCCTTTAATAGTAAATAGATAGTAAGTCTGCAGTTATTAGGTAGGTTAATAGAAAAAAAAATTAAAAAACTATTCCAAAAACCAAAACCATAAAATTTGAAAAACCAATCTTAGAACCTAAATCAAAACCATAAAATATGGAAAACCCTTCTCAATAACCGAAACCGTAACCATTAAAATTTGAAACGGTTTCGATCCCTGCCCTGTATATAACCGGGATAAATTGTAATTATAGTTTATAATTACTATGTAAATTATTAATTATATACCTACTTAAATACTTTTTTTTCAACAATATGATATAATAAAACGATATGATTTAATAAAAATAAAGAGTAAATATAATAGAATGAATAGTAAAAAGTATTAGATACTAATTAATCGAGTATAAAACCAAAAAAAAATTGTAAAAAAAAAACAAAAAAATATTATACACGGTACCGACGAGGATGGGATTCGAACCCACGCGTGCAGAGCACATTGGATTAGCAGTCCAACGCCTTAACCACTCGGCCACCTCGTCTCGTGCAAGGACGAGTCAAAAAAGACTAATTTAAACCACTTTAGAAAATATCGTAGATCAACAAAATATATTGATCGCTCAAAATATATTATGTAGTTCTCTAGTGAGGCGTCAAAACTAAAAAGAATATGTGTTATGTGTATATAATAATATATACTTTTAATTTTGCAAGTTTATTATAGAATTATTCAAAATGCACAGTATAAACTATAACTAGGTAGATATGGGTAATCTGGTAATAAGATTTATTATTAAATAGGTATATATTATATTTTAATCGATGGTACTTACCTAGTGCTAAGTTGTTACCTACCTATAATACACTGGCTATAGGTACCTTCCTAATTATAAATTATATCTGTTATTGCTCCATAGTAGTATAGTACCTACCTATGTATCTAGTATAGTATTTATTATAAACATATTCTATTACAGTATTACCCCTATTACCTATAGGACAAAATATAATTATAAATTTAAGTGTATTATAATAAATATATAATATAAATTTTATTGCATTAATATAGTTATGCACATCGTATACGTCATATACGAAGTGTGGTATCCGGTAGGTACAGTTTTATATAAGTAAGTCCTATGTCCTATACATATAGTAAGTAAGTTGTAGGTATAAGGTATATAATCATCAGTATATAAGTATAGTAGGTATATCGTACCTATATCGTAGAAAGTAGAAACTATTAAGTATAAAAAAAAAAATAATCGTACAATAATATAAATAGGTAGGGGAGAGTGGGGCAGATTTGAATGAAATTTACATTTTATTATTTTAATTTTTAATTTTTTGACAAATTTTATATTTGATAATTACAATCTGTAGTCTAGATAGTTGTGAATACTATTTGACTTATAACAACCTTATATATTAAATAACCAATTTAATTTCTAATTATGAAATGAAGTATATTTTTATTCAAATGTACCCCACCCATGGGGTACATTTGAACGTGCAGGGGGTAGATTTGAATATGTGTCTTAAAAGTCACATTTGAATGTTAAATATTAAATTAAATTAAACTTTTTATTTATTTTAATAATAAAAGTAGCTCAATATAATATAATAACAATTTTTTACAATTATGTTTAGATGTTTTCTTGTCAATTTTTTTTTTTATTGTGAAAATGTAGTATTTTTGAGTTTTCTTATAGATAAATCCACATCTTGTGACATAAATCCAGTTAACTAGTATATTCCATCCATAAGATAGATATTTCAAAAAGGAGGAAACTTTATTACACCCTATTAATGAAGATTCAAATCTACCCCATGCCAAAATAATCAATAATAATCGTAATATAAATTTTAATAATTATAAATAATGTATGTACATTAAATGTATTACTAGGCAACAATATTTTGAATAGGTATATTTAATTCTAAACTTATTATTTTGAATTTTAGTTTCCAAAATGTTCTTATGGAAACACCTATTTTTTTTAAAAAAAAAGCCGGAAAATCACATTATCATTTTTATTTATCACAAAATTATTCAAAAATGCCTGATTATCACATATGGTATACAAAATATTGTCACCAACTTAGATTATTATTTTTATGAATGTAAATAATCTGTAACAAATTATATTAGACAAATTCAAATGTACCCCGCATTCAAATCTGCCCCACTCTCCCCTATATAATTTTAAGTAGGTAGCCACTTACTGGAACTTTGGCTATTTTGTATAGAAAAAAAATAAACCCTTAATTTAATTTATTGATAGGTTATGTTAGGTTAGGTTGGTAAAATTAATTTAATTGAACTGAAATAGCGATGCGTTTTTTTTCCGACAAGGTAGGTACAACATAACAACAATAATATGACTATTCACTATTATGACTATTGAGAATTGACCATAAACTTTAATAATAATTGTACCTAAAGAGCTGCAGAGTGTTTCTCAATCTACAACTAATGACAACAGGAAAATAAAAAATGTTTTAAATATCTTTAAATAATCTTTATACTTAAAAGGATTACCTAAGTATTATACTATTATTCATTATTCAGTAATTCAAACCATTAAATTTAAATGATAAACTTGCTTAAAATAAAAAAGATTATTAAAATTACTATAGGTATTATAAATTATAATAGCATATTATATTTGATTTTTTTTTACGGTATGGTGTCGACTACCTATAGAAGTAAATTTGTGGGTCACAACAACAAAAAAGGTTGGAAAACACAGGTAGGTATAGAGTATATCAGCAGTGTATAAAGACTACAGTGCACGTATATTAATGTTGCAATTTTAACGAGGCACGTTGAGATTTACGAAAATATTTTAATTTTGAAAATAACCAAAGATCAAGATATCTTTGTTATTGAAGAACCGGCAAAGAATGTTGTACCTATTTAATATTATACCTACTAAGGATTGTAATTTATAAATCGTACATCGTAAAGTTAATGTATTGTTCATCGTTGATGTAAATGTAGAATATTATGTATTTGAGTAAATTTATACTCTTACGTGGTAGATTGTGACCGATAACACTGTCTCTGCAGTCTATATACACTCTACATGACTTTATATATATAGTAGGTGGTTACTATAGGTAGTACCTACATAGGTTTTCATCGAAATATCCATTATACACCAGCTATAATATAATATCTGTTATTAGGTATTATAAAAAAAATTGTTCGATCTTCGTAATATTTTGTTGTTGACGGTAACATGATGATATGTTTATTACATAGCTATTATTTTGTTGTAACCTACCTACTGAGTTTATGTTTTTCTTTTTTTTTCTTTTACAAAGAATTAAATAAGAGATATAGGCACCTATTTTATGAATTATTAAACAAGTATATTATATACCTATATTATATTACTAAATAAGCTGCTCAAATTATTATAATAATATGTTGATAAAATTAAACCTAAAATGAATTAAAAACATTTTTGAAAAACGTAATGTGAAAATAAAATAGGTTGGTACTCACAATTCCATCGCAAAGGCTTACGGAAACGACCGAGTCAGGTTCACCAGACACGTTTCCTGAATAGAAACATCCATTAACCTTCACATTGGGTGGTTCTCTCCATGTCTCGTTGTACTTCACACGAGTAATCTATGACAATAACAAATGTAAATTCAAGATAATTTTGTTTGTTTTATCAATTATTTTGGAAAACATAAGAACTTATAAATCGCTTAATGCTTGTATATTTTATACAAGACAATAAAATAGGTTGTTGGTCGATTTATTAAAGCATCATGTACAGATAATATCATTAGCAACAATATTTTTTGGCATTTCACCAATATCCAGACAGTTACTAAATAATCGTTTGTTTCTTCTAAAAGTCTGAATTATATTTAAAATTAAACAAATTATATCATCGGAAGAAATAAAATAGTCACGCTTTATAAAATATTAATCACGTTTATTATTTTGTAAGACAAAGGCTTTTGTTTTACTATTGATATGCATGATTGTATGATGAATATTAGATATAAATATATTATAATGACAAAAGTAGTACCTCATTTTTTTCATTTCGTACTTCAAACATTTTAGAGATGCATCATGCATGTCTAAATTTGTTTGGACAATATAATTATTAATTAATATTATTTAGGTAAGTATAGATATAAAAGGTAATAATCTGTTATAACATTCTTTTAGTTTAAGTTTAACCAGGCGGTAGCCGTAGCCAGGTAGATAGTTAAAAATTATTCGTGTCTTATCATCGAACTAGATCAAAATAAAATTGTTATAAATGAAATGGTGCAGTGATACGCATAATAATAACATATATTTATTATAACTACCCATTTAAGATAAGTTTTAGGTACTTATAGTATTTTTCATATTTAAATATAGGTACATGAAATATATTTTTTTTTACAGTTTGTTATCATTACATGTAAGTAAATAAGTTATATATTTCAAAATCAAAGTGTTAGGTAGGTATATTATTATAATGAAGATAAAAAAAAATATGTATAATTTATGATTTTCAAATTATTTCCTGGTATAAGTACAAGTAATATTATGTTATTTTAAATATTATTGAGGTGCTTATTTTCTTATTTCAGTAGGTACATAGATAAAGTTGCTAATTTACAATATTGTAATCAGTTAAACGATAATTAATTTTCCCACGTAATATTTTGGGTGTATATCAGGGAATGCTGATATTACCTACATTCATATTTGTTACTATAATTATTTAATAACTATAATCAATATGATTTGTACTTTTTTTTTTTACTAATTACAATCTAATCGCATACTCGATTCTATATATTATGGCCTATGGGTTTTATCAAACATTTTCAAGTTTAGAAGTTATAACTATATCTAAAATTTAGCTATACGATATATTTTTATGTATAATATAATATAAATATAGCAATATATTATTATAATATTAATATGTTTACTCGTTACTTAGATAGCAGTTAAATATTATAATTGTAGTAACGTTATAATTTATAGTAATCTAGCTAAATCCCGAAGACTTATGGAAAATAATATTGTAGTCCGTAGTCTTAACGATGTGATATTATTATTATTATTATTATTATTCTTGCGGTCCTCCCTGACGATTTCACAATCCAACGCCACTAACATTTAATATTATACTCGCAGACGAACGACGGATTACACGGTCACTGTAATATGTGTAACCCCCCTGAATCACATGAGCAATAAAATACGAGATCACACGCTGCTGGGGACGATGCACGCGTATTGCAACGGAATAAAATAAAAATAAAAAATAAATGTACCGACGCTATAATATTATTATGTCCGATGTGTGTGTACCTACGTAAAACCTATACGGTCGTACAACAGTACCTATATAATAGGTATATACTTGTATACCGCAGTATAATACCTATGCAGTCTACGGGTCAACAGTCGATATTCATCGTATATTATATGAATAAGCGGCGGCGGCAGAAAACACCAGAACGCGTCTCCCGGTGGACACTTTTATTATTATTATATTGTTATACTCTCGTTTAATTGTTTCGACAAGACCGATATTGTATAAAATACATAAAATATACTACATTACATTATAATTTATGTGTGTACCTACATGTGTATAAATAGAAAAATTAAATCTAATGGCTGTTAAAAAACAGTCGGATAAAATATATACAGGGCGTGCGTACCAGGCACGTACTGCATAGCGCACTTGTTTCCTTCAATAATGAATTTATTCAAATCCTGATTTTTGGGATTTTTAAGCAGGTGCCTATATTATATTATGCTTTATAGGTACTTGGGGACCAAATTTTCAATTATTTTTATTGATATACAATTTATGGCTATTTTATATACCAACCTATTTTACTGTAGATTATATTAAGAAGATGATTTTTTTTTCAAAGTTAATGTATCTTAATCAAAGTTCGGACGTACCTATAGTTATTAAAATCTGTATCGTATATCTGCAGGGATAATAGTCTTGAAAATTGTTTTGTTCAAAATATAAAATTTATATACCTACCTATATCTATAGTATCTAACATTGAATCCAGCATTTATTATAGGTACCTACTCGGATAACTATTACAAATTATAGAATGCTGATAAATTAATATTAATTATTATAATTTTCAAATCTTCATAGGCATGATATATTTGAGCCCAATATTAATGGTCGATGGACATTCTCATAGTGCATAACGTTGAATAATAAATTCCAAAACTATTTGTTTGAATTTAAATTTAGGTATAAAGGTACATCAAAATGTTCAAAAAAAAGTGATTCAAATTTAAAATGAAGAAGTTGGTATTGCCTCGGATTCTCTTAAAATGGCATAAAAAAAATCTAAGGATTTTAAAATATGGTTTTTGAGTAGATTATACCGAATAAAAAATTTCAAAAATCAAAATTTGAATAAAAAGAAAACGTGGGGGTGAGCATGCTTGATAAATCACCCTGTATATGTATAATGTTTCTTTTTTCCAGTGGAAAAGACTAAATAATTAATTATGCGTAAAAAAAACTTTTCTTCTGTAAATAATTCATACGAAACCCGATATTCTATAATATATAAACCTATATAATATACGTGTGTATGGATATGTCGGTAACAACCAACTGGTTTGTACAGAGAATATAGAGAGATGTGTCGTTTACCGCGGACGAAAATCGTGGAATTTATGAAACACAATACGGAATAATTGTCGTAAATTGTCTTAGCATAGTTTTACTCGAACATATACTTATAATTATTTTTTATCGAACAATTAGTAAAGTAGGTACTTATTAACTATAAACGTACCTACCTAAGTGAAAACGAAATCACTGCAGTAGTCAATATTATAATCATAATATTATTATATAGATAGGTATTCATATTACGAACATTTAAAAACAGCTCTAGGTGCACTTAAATTATAAGACTTAAGAATGCCGCTATCTTAAACAATTATCCGGATTCTTGACTTGACCTCATCTGCAGAGTAGATTGAATATTTAAAATAAGATAAGAAATAATCAAATAATCAATTTAAAAACATTAGCATATAAATATTGTGAAAACACAATATTCTTTTTTCCCAAAAAGTGGGTTTTCAAGTACCTAGAAAATATATTATTCAAGTACAATATAGCTATATATTATATTAGAAAATTAAATCAATAAAAATACTTATACAATAAATCGTGAACTGCTTTAAATAAATTATTAGTATATTGTGTTTCTGTGACAAGTGTATTTCACTTTAATACTAGATAAAAATGGATTGTTAAATCCCAAAAATAAACGATTATTTAATATTATTTTGTTGATTATTTATATCTGAAGCTATATTTTTAAAAAGCACAAATATATTTGAATTTTTTATTTGAAGAGTTAAATTATTTTTCTATATAAGTACACTTAGCTTTTAGTCTTTGGTCTGCAGAAGCTTACAAAAAATATTTTTATACACCTAAAGTAGGTAGCTTTAAAGTAATTACATACATTTTATATTATATTTATGTACGAGTACATATACAAATATCAAAAATGTTATTTAATATTGATTTTTTTCTAGCCTTGGATTTATAAAATCTCCAATGTTGTTTTTTTGAAGAATTCATACTTAAATGCAATTTAACATTAAGTAAATATATTATTGATATAATATACCTACATATCTACCTATATATAATATATATTATATATTTAATAAAAATAACACTACGATTGATATTGAAAAATGATGACTTTATTCAATCGTAAAATCATAGCGTACATGGTATATCATACGAGTTTGGATGATCTACAATTTACTTAAAAAAGAGGTATTATCATTTTCTTATTATATAGGTATCTATTTAAACTACAATTTTACCTTTTTATTGAATTGGAATAAATTATAATTAGGTAGGTACTAGGTAGTTAGGTACTTGTTAAAAATATTATATTTATATTTAATCTACACATATTATTCATTTTACTATGTAATCGTTGAATAATTGATTAACTTGAGAATAATAAATAAATTATATTAAAATAGTATATTAAGGCTACAATTAAATAAATTAATAATAAAATATATATAATATTTAGTGTGTAATTGGCATCTTAAAAGTGCTGCAGTAAATACAAGCAGATATTAATATATGTACCTTCGCCTTACGGTATAAATCATTTCTATAGTGTGCCATAACTATTGCCATTTAATTTTTTTTATTTCAAGTGCTAATCAAATAAATATCTTATATAGACTTGTCAGTTGTCATAAAGTTTAACAATTTGTTAACACTGATGTTAATTTGTTTCTGCTATAGACGATATTAATAATTATGATGACAATTATTAATTTGCTATGGATATTTGAAGAGGATCTAAATATGAAATACCTATACATGTATATGTATACACGTATGTCCTCAAGAATTGAATTATGAATTCGTTTATCTATTTGATATAACAAAAATTAATCGATCTCGAAAAGAACTAATGTATACCCTATAAAGCAATTAAGCAAACGACGGTTATTACTTCTTTGTCGTCACATAATCAATATAATCACATCCAATTGAATCGCCAAAATATATACTTCATGTCACGAGTAAGATATTTTTACATGTAGGTCATTTAATCCGTTGTTCTGATATTATTATAGTAATATAGTGTTCCAAACACTTGGAAAGTAATTTTCGTAATAGTCTCCCTATGCACACAAAGAACAATATCCTAACAATAATTATTTAATAAAAAAATATTGCTGGACTTGTAAAACAATCCTTTTTAACGAGGAAAATGCATCGATTTCAATCTTATGTAGTACGCTTAATGATATACCATGTAAATTTAATACGTGTTGCATTGAAACTATAAACTGTTTTAAAAACATAATATTATATTTTTTTTATGCATATGACGTATGACAGGTACCCTTGTAGGTACCAGCAATTGAAATATAATGTGCAATACGCTGTTACATTATAGTGTTCCATGTATGGAAACAACATTGTAATGTTATAATGTTTACATCATTATTTATTTTTAAATATTTAAAACGATCACTTACTTTGATATCGGGAGAAACGAACTTGGAGTCTTGAATAAGCACCAAATGAAATAAATGTCCAAATGCCGTAAACTTGTATTGAGGATGAGGATCCCATATAAATGCTGTCTTGTGTCGATATTGCCCAGAATGGTGTTTAACAAGTTTTTCTCGATCGACTTTATACAATAATATTAATAATAATAATAATAACATATCAATTACTGTTTATATATTACTATCAAATAAAAACATAATATATTCGATGGTTTGTATATCTTATGGGCATGGCAATAGTATTTATGAGAAACTTACGTCTGTTTTGGTCACCGCCATAAAGAATATCGTGTGTGTGCAACGATTCGGGTATTGACTTGATTGGCTTTACGTATTCTCGTTCGAACCGGCTGGTATCCGACGTATCCACCATTGATGATTTTTTTCTAAGTGACTCGGGGACCATGGCCATCGTTTGAGTTTCATCTGAAAGTAAAGCAATTTATTAATATCTGATTTCGTAAGGCAAACTATGTAATTAAAATCTTAATTATTATTAAAACAACATAATAATTATCATTATGTTTCTGTTACGTCGAAATAAAAAATATTTTAATATTGCAAAAGTTTTCGTTCCGCAAGACTAAACTATATTATACCTAGTAGTAAGGAATCGTCATATTATTATTACTATCTAACGTAAAAATTAAAAATAAAATATGTATGTGAGATGAGACATTATAGATGTTTATGTGAAATTTGTATATTATCATATTCAAATGTTTTTTATGTACAGATTTATTTATACTTCGTTAATCGCTCTTTCCTTGAAAAAATTGAGATTAACATAGAAATACATAAATTTGTTTGCAAGTATTCGTACTTTTCGTACTTTTTAGAATACAAAAAGAAAATAAAACACTAAATTAAATTTTTTAACTGCATTGAAATCGACTTTTTCAAGTTAATATTTGAAATGTACATAATAATATACTGCAGTAGCACGTGCCATTAAATAAAAAATAAAAATATATGAAATATGAATGCAGTTAATGAAATAATAGTTTTGAAAGTGGTTCAAAATATAAGTTAATATATTATACCAAAATCACATTTTTAATTTATTGTTCTTACTTTTTGTTATTAAAACTATCAATCAAATCTATCGCTTTTAAACTCTGCAGTTGATTGGTTTAAATTAAAACAAAAACGCAAATATACAGCTGGAATTAAGCGTTCGTCACGATGGTGCGTAGTTAAAATGGTTTTGTAATATTAGTTTCAGGAAACGTCCATCGATTTTCTAATGTACCGACATTGACTATAACACTTAACGTGAACGACATCTTCGATTTAACTTTACACACGAATACATACGATGCCATTTCGTAACGTCAGAATATTTCAATAATAATATAATATGGCAATTGGCAACTGCAGGCGAGTATTATAAATAATAATAATAATATATGTAATAAGAACAAAATAACAACGAATGTGAATAAAAGGAAAATTGCGAAGTCAGGCTGCAGGACGACACCACAAAGCTATACCGCCGCCGACGCCGCCGTATGTCTATAAAGTTATTATTATTAATTTAACTGCACACACACATACACACACCACATAGGTATATAAGTACGCCATACACGTATATTGCGGTGCGCATAGTGAGCAAAAATAAAAAAAAAACGAATCTGGAGGAGCCGTTCTCGGAGAATGTCGTGACTTCCTGGCCGACGTAAATCAATTCAGAGTTTATATTATACCTATACAATACCTAGGTACGAGGGAGCATGTAAATATTTCGCAACGTTCATTGTCAAGGCCGAAGAAAACCGGGTGCGTTGGCATCGCGTGGTTTCGACTTTATTGATTTTTTTTCTTTTTCGTATTTCGCTACTACATATTAATATTATCATTATTATTACGATCTTCTGGTATAGAATGAGTTGGTTCTTCGTGAAAGACATTTTTGAACATTGTCCAGGGGAGACATGATTAAAAAAAAAAAATTCAAATTCTCTCATGCACGACATAATATTATTATTATTATTATATCACCATCGATATCCATCGATCGATCAGGTGCCGGAGAACCTCAGCTCTTGTAGAATTTGGATATGATAATATTATAATATTATTAATATTAAAATTATTTTAACGGACGTCACGATCGTCCCATTGAAACGAATTTGTTTACATTATAACATTATTCCGACAACAAACGTGTTCGATACGCGTGTAGGTACCTATATACTGTTCCGTATTCGATCCGTTTAAACGGCACTATTCAAATACGTATATAATATTATGTACAAAGAGACTACAGATTTCCGCTCGATGTTTGTCTTCGTAAAATATAAAATATAAATCAAAATGGTTAAACTCTACGTGGGCCCGTGGTACTATTATTATTATTATTGTGGATTTATAATCGGAATCGAGTCCGTAATTTATTATTCACACAAAACTCAAATCATAATATTATAATTTATATAGTATAATATATAATATTACGATGACGGGGTATGCGGTTGTAATTTTAAATCACTTGAATCGCCCGAATTCAGCGCCACTGGGGGGGAGGAGTTGCATATACTCAAATTAATTTGTACTATAAGAGACCACAAGTCAGTAGATATTATAACATTTCAGATTCAATTATAAAACTAAAACATACATAAACGTCATACATAATTATAATATTTTTTTTATTATTAGTTTTCTGTGTTCGAGTTTAAACAAAATACGTGATCCATGATTTATAGAAAACGTTTGATAATAAAAACGTTATTTTTATAACGTCTCGCTATATTCTAATGTTGAAGTGTTTTCAACGTCATTATCACAACTCTATAACAACCCAATAACTTTTGGTCTTAATGAGTGTTTATGTAATTTATTCTACTAGTATAACTTTGTAAAGTTAACATTTAATTTATCGCAGAACAAAATGAAAATGAAATTAGATGTTCTAGAAAACTAAGCGTTCAATTTATTATACATATTAAAAATATTATTATATTGTGTATGTTATGTATAGGAACATCACGATAAAAGTACGATTAACTAAAATATACATAGAATAAAGAATATACTTATATCCCTATACATAATAATATACTAACTGCTTATACTTTTGGATAATACTTCGGACAATTATTGCCAATTCATAGCTCCAACTCGTAACTTTGTAAAGTTAAAATGTAATTTATCTCACAACATAATAATAAATAAATATTAGAAATTTTAGAAAAAAATGAGTTCAATTTATTATACATGTTCACCACATAATTATTGTATTATGTACTACGTAGGAATAATACGATAAATGTACAATTAACTGAAATATTCCTTTACATAATATTATACTGCAGCTTTTGGAAGGTATCATACTTCTGAAAATTATCGCCAATTCACAGCTCCATAAATCATTCTGCTTATAATTAAGTATGTACAACATATTACGATAAAAAGAAAAATTATGGTAAAAAACATGATTTGCGAGATTAAATTTATAAAATTTCATGAAATTGTTTATTAACTAATGTATAACGCGTTATAATTATAATACAATATGCTTAATCACATTATATTATAATATTTCTATGGTAATATTAACCACGGAAGCAAACAGAATTATTATATTATTAAAACATTTAAAAAAAAAAAACAACTATATCGATTGTTCGAATCCCGCAGGTTTACCTATACTATAACAACAGCTATCGTCGTTGTCATCGAAATTACTAAAATAATTTTTTCACTTATTGTCTTACACTATTATTTACTATTATACCACACGCGCGGTTCGTAATCGTATATAGAACGTAATGTGTACCTACGTAACGTCAAGTTGTGGGGTGGCCAGTTCGTAAAATGTCCCGTCAACCGGTCCTTTAAGTGCATATTATCATATATACTCATTCAGAAATACTCACGTTTCGTATCACTGTTTACTCACTAAATATAAGGGTACAATAAGATATCGGGACGATTGAAAAGTAAAATAAAAAAATTATACGATTGTCGCCAGACCGGCCGTAAAACTGTTGTAAATGTACACAATAAATGTATACGATACTCTTCTGTGTTTGTTTTTAAATCTCGAGAAAATCGGACGATAACTATTATTTACCGACGGTCACGTGTGTTGATATTTTTATTTTTCACCATTTTTATTCCGTACAGCCATTAGTCCGCCCAAGTCTTTTTTACGGCAACCGGCGGCGATTATATTATTATTATCTACGCACCGAACGAGATGGAATACAATAATAATAATAATAATAATATTATTATATCGATGATAAATAACAATAAAATCGCCGTAATGTAAAGCCGAGTACAAAATAATTATCACAAGAAACCATATTGGGAACAGTCAACGAAAACTGTCAAGCCATATTTTATTATGTTCTAAACAATCGTAAATACGTTATTGAATTAGTTTATTTTTTACACTACCTACCTATATAATGGAAGTATAGAATAGCAGGTTGACCGCCACGGTTTTTTTTTTTTCAAGTTACTTAAAATCGATTTTGAGACTCTATTTGGATTCTCAAAAACATTAGTACCTACATTACTAGGATTGACAATAATTATTGACATTTGACACCCCATTCGGGGTCTCACTGAAATCGATTTTCAGCGAGAGCTCGTTTGGAGTCACAATAATCAGTATTTTCTAGTCAGATTTAAAATGTACAGTGTTGCCACTTTCTGATGGTATAACAAGTTTGCATATAATATTGTTATTAGTTTTTTTTTCTCAATTTTTGTTTAAGCCGTCAAAACCATGGCTAAATATATTTAGCCTTTTTCAAAACTGTTTCCAAACAAACCTATGAAAAAACCCTGTGGCGTCAGGGAGTAAACTAGTGAGAGCCCAAAAAAGATCTCTTGGCGGTCAACCTGATAGTAGAATGATTACCGGCGATGATAAATGTGCCGTTTAACATTTTTACAGGTACTCGAAAAACTGTAGATACCTGTACGATTTTCCTATCCTAGTCGTTTTACTGATAATTCACGAGTAAATTATCTTCGAATTACAAAAACATCTTACCGTATTTGCATAAGTGCCTAGGCAGGTATTGAAAACTACGATATTAGAAACAGGTGCGTAATATACGTAAATGTGTGAATAAGTAATTTTATGGTGACGATTTATACTTCAATGATATGTACCTATCGCTTTAGGAGTTAATGTAAAACATGGTAAAACTATTTTCACTTATATTTTATAAAAGCAGATGACACGTAAATTAAAATATATTTAAGTACGCAATGAAAACGAATGCCAGTGATCTGTATATTTTACATTAATATATTATAATATATATGAATGCAGTGTATATTTAAATAAAACAACGCCATAAAGTTGTCTTATAGATAAAAACACATATTTTATATTATGGACTATAAAGATGTTGTAGGTACCTACATTATATCGTATTTATTAATATTTTTCATTTTAG